AAACAATGCAACATACACAAAAAAGACTCGAAGAGGCCAGAGCCGTGGTGTAGCCACCTAAACCTCCTCCTTCAACACCAACATCCCATACAGGCACTGGTTTGAGTCCTAGCTGTTCCACTACTTACCCAGCTCCTTGATACTGTTCCAGGGACAGCAGAAGATAGCCCACGTGTCACAGGAGAAGATGGCAAAAGTACTTAGGCCCCTGCACCCACCTGGAAGACCCAGATGAAATCTCTGTCTCCTGTTGGCCCCCAGATCCTGGTTTTAGACCAACCCAACCCCAGCCACTAAGGCCATTTGGAAAGTGAGCCAGTGGACAGAAAAGCTCTGTCTCTCTCTTTCTCTCCCTGTCTCTCCTCTCTCCGTAACTCTATCATTAAAATAAACAAATCTTACAAAAAATAAAAACACTCAAAGAAAGCACAGCAAACAGGGATTGCCAAAGGGAACAAATTGTTCATCCCCCCCCCCATTTGCCATTGTTTGTAATATTTTGTCATAATTTTTAAAGATATCTATTTTTTAATTGAAAAGGTAAATATACAGAGAGAAGAAGAGCCAGAGAGAAAAATCTTCCATCTGTTGGTTCATTCCTCAAATGGCTTGAACAGTTAAAGTTGAGCCAACCTGAAGCCAGGAGAGAGAAACCTCTTTTGGGTCTCCCACAGGAGCACAAGGTGCTAACACTTTGGGTCATTCTCCACTGCTTTCCCAGGCCACAGCAGGGAGCAGCTGTACATGAACTGCTGACCATATGGGATGCCAGCATTTGAAGGTGGAGAATTAGATATCACGCTGGGCGCTGGCATCATTGTTTGACAACTACAAATACCTTTAAGCAACAGTAACTGAGATTTATAAAATCAAGAAAGAACTTACAGGGATAGTGACCTTTGCTAAAATGATGCACTTTGGATTTATATTCAAGTTAAAGCCAGTGAGATTTCACATTCCTCAGAAAACAATGTGTTTTTCATCCTTACTGGAATATGCTATGGAGGATGCTTGCAAAGAATGGATGGAATTCTCAGTGCTGCAGCATCCACCAAATTACTTAAAACAACAACGAAAACAAGTTTCTGGAGTTTAGAGATATTTCTATTACAAAAAAAAAATATTCAAGTCTAGCATTTTCTTGTAATAATTTGGAAGAGAGACTAAACAAACTATAGGTATCAGTTTCTGAATTATTTGTAATCAAAATTTCAGTTACCAGGCCTAGGGCAGTAGCCTCATGGCTAAAGTCCTTGTGGCTAAATTTGGCTTGAAAGATTGCTTATTTGTCCACACTGTACTCCAATCCACAGCTCAAATTAGGCCATAGGATAATCTCAAAAAGTATACATTATAGCAGAATTACTTTACACATATAGCAGAATACACCTTAAGAAGGAAAATGAGGCAAAGGAGAACTGAGACTGGAAAGAAAAAGGAAAGCTCCGTGTGAGCAAATTCACAGAATGACGTTGTCTAACACTCTAAACAGAAGCAAGCCATAAACTAGGTTCTAAGATTTCAAACAAGCAGTTCTAACTCAAAAACAGTTAATGTTGAATAACATCCATGAGGTTAAAAAAAAAAATTATTTGTCCAAGAAAATCAGTTCTGACATCGGTATTTTAAAAAGAAATTCGCTATAAGCTCTTATGTAATCTTCAATAATATGTCTTTATTTCTCTAAAGATTAGTTCAAAGGCAGAGTGATAGAGGGAGATGTACTGCCCTCCCACCCGCTGGTTCAGGTCAAACCAGGCATCCAGGATTCCATTCATGTCCCCATATTAGAGGAAAAGACTCCACTGTTTGTGCCGTCCCTTACTGCCTCCCCGGTGCATTAGCAGGGAGCTGCACAGGAAGCAGAGCAGCCAAGATTCCAGCAGGTTACAAGCATCCCAGCTGCCAATTTAACCTGCTGCACTACAATGGCTACCCCAACAAAAATCAGTTTTTAAACATTTACACACACAAAATTTCCATAAACCTTTTATAAAATCATTATAAACCAAAAGAAATACAGCCACAGCAATTCTGAAATGTCATTCTACAGACACTTCCAGGATTTTATCTGAATATGGATCCAATTTTCTGAAGGTCTGGCCAAGTCTAGGGATATATTTCTCAGGAGGAAGAAAAGATGCTGCTTCAAAACACAGAAAAGGAAAAGAGATATGTATAAAAGTATTATGATAAACATACATAATAAATATACAATACCCAAAGTAAGATCAATAGCATTTCAGAACTATCAAAACAGCTTTAGCAGAACCCTCAGAGCATGCTCCACATCAGGGACCCTGGGATGACACTGGGTGGCCGTTCCACATCCCCAGTTACTGAGGCAGCTGGGAGGCTGGGTTTGGCTTCTCTCCTGATCTCTGCCCCTCTCCGTCGTTCCCCCAGACACAGCAAGAAGAAAAAATTTGGAAACAATCGTCTCACCACTTCCCCTAAGCCTCTACCCTTCCCACCCTAATCAACTATGTTATCATCAAAAATAAAACTTTCATAAAATAGCAGAGAAAATCACCATCACTAATCATTGAAATCTTATCAAATATGCATTTTCAGCATTGCTCTACAAATTCATCAGATGTTACTTAGAAGACTTTCCCTTCCATTTCTCTCGGTCACTATTCCAAACTCACCACTTGCTTCAAGCCCTTCTTTCACTGTCATGGTTCACTTTAGCACAAGAATCTCATTTTGTATAATCTCACTACATGTGCAATTTATAATCAAATAAAACTAAATAACTTGCAGGTCCCCAAACATGCCTTGGTTTCTTGACACATGCTGTTCCCTCTGCTCAAAATACTCCCTTCCAATTTCCAAACAGAAAGCTTTTATTTTCCAAACCACATCTCAAATTCCACTTCTTGAACAACTTTCTCAATCCATACCTCTTCTCCTATGCATCTATTATACTCTGTACCTACTTGTAATTGCAAAAATTATTGTGCTTTATTATAATTCCTGGTCTCTTTCTGCACAAGACTCATTATTAGGAAACTTTTTTTCGGTTTTCTAGCACAAGCACCTAGTTGGTACTAGAAATCACAAGTTGGAGGAATGAATTCTTCCAACTACAGTATGATTGTAAGCTAATATAACTGTACAGTGTAATTGTGTAAGTTCAACATTATACAGAAGAAATAAATTTAACGGAAAAAAATTTTACAATCTTAGCTAAGATAAATTTGATTGCTTATCCAAAATGATTAATAATGATTATACCTGCAATGTAACCAAAATGGTCTTATGTAAAATATATTTCAAGCATTTTACAAATCATGTACTACAAATAGAACTAAACAGCTCTATTTCTGATCATTTGGATGAAGTTTGCTGACTGAAACCACACAATGCTCAGAACAACAGATATCTTGTCTGATATTCTGACAATAATTCTGCCTCAATAATTCATACAAATCATGGCCATGTCATATACAAACACTGGCATGCACAAAAGATTTGTCACAAATATCCTAAGGCCACAAGAGATAAGCATACCAACAACGAACCCTAATACTCACTCTACCATTCCCCAACTAGAGGTACACTTTGAACAAACCATATCCCCTCAAAAAAGACAACAAGATCACCTTCTTGTTAAGTTAAAACTAACCAAGATTAAAATAAACACATACACATATACTTTGGAAGAATACAAGGAAACGAAAACAACCACATTCAGAACAATAGTTAGCTTAAAAGTTAGAAGACAAAGGGATAACAACTCATCTGGATTACTACCAGAATCTTAATTTTGTTTTGTTTTATTTTTTGGGGGGGAAGGTGAACTCCAGAATATTCCATTATTATTTTTTTAAGACAGAGGTGAGAGCCTGGTGCAGTAGCCTAGTGGCTAAAATCCTTGCCTTGCACATGCCAGGATCCCATATGGGCGCTGGTTCTAATCCTGATGTCCCTGCTTTCCATCCAGCTCCCTGCTTGTGGCCTGAGAAAGCAGTCTAGGACAGCCCAAAGCCTTGGGACCCTGCAACCGCATGAGAAACATGGAAGAAGCTCCGGGATCTTGGCTTCAGGTCGGCACAGCTATGGCCATTACGCTCACTTGGGAAGTGAATCAGTGGATGGAGGATCTTCCTCTCTGTCTCTCCTCCTCTTTGTACATCTGACTTTCCAATTTAAACATAAAATAAATAAAGACAGAGGAGAGTAACGAGAGTGAGCAGAAGGAGGAAAAAAAGGAGGAAAGAAAAAGAGAAAAAAATCAAGAGATAAAAAGATGACAGACAGATAAAAGTGAACCAAGTGTGGACCAATAATGAGAACATGTTATGAACCAAGAATTACTGAAGTTAAAGTGAGAGGACACAAAATGAAGTTACATGACATGGAAAGAAAGGAAAATATAGGCTAATAGCTAACCTAATAGCTCTGGAACAAACCCAAAATTCATTCATTCAGGATTCGTTTTTTTCTTCCTGCTTCTAATTCCCTGGCCTTTCTACAGTAAAGTAACATGTTCTCCAATAAATGTAAGGTTTTCTATCACTAAAAATGGATCTTCTGCTCAGCAAATAAGACCAAAAGGGCACAAAAAGAACACAAACGGAAATGATGCTGATTCACCCACTGGTTGGTTCTCTGCAGTGGGGGTAGATGGGAATTCCAAAACCCCCAAGCCTTCAGGTAGGCCATGGGAAATTCTTATTCAATCACCTAGTACTTTAGTAAGTGCCAACCAAATGTCAATTGTTATGATAAATATTATGAGACTTCAGACTTACTTTTAGGATAAAATCTTAGCAAATTGAATCTAGCTTGTCAACTTCAGGGAGACCCAGAACCCAGATCACTTTTTATGTCCTTTACTTAGCTATTTATTCATAAAGCAATACCTAAGCAGCTCCCTTACAAAATGAGGTTACACTGGCTCCCCAAAGTTAAAAATGTCTATTACCAACTTGAAAAAAAAGTTGCTCTTCAACAGATGAGATTTTTCTGAAGTGTGCTGTTGACCGTTTTACCTGCTATCTTGAAAAGTCGGTGTATGTCATCTCCTTCCACCAGCTTCACAAATCCAACCTGGTTATCAAAAGTACCGATCCCTTGAAAGGCCAGAGGCAGATGCTTTCCTTGGAGGATTTCTTCTATGACCGGCTTTAATTCCAACAGCGCATCAATACCACTGATGAGAGAGAACAGATTTTTCAGTAACTTTATTTATTCAGTAATAGAAATATTCAAAAGAAAGAACAAAGTAATTAATTTTAGGAAGAAAAATTAATTTTATATTTGCAATAATTAAAGTTCTAAATGCCTTCTAGGTCCAATCTATACATTTAAAATGATTAATTTTAAATAAAAACTATGAAGGTTGTAAATTAAATATTTATCTGACTATAATCACTATTAAAAACATAAAAGTAAATACAACTTCATAGTTCACAAAAAATTTGTAACTGAGAAAGTACTACATAGGTAACAAAAAAATATTTAATACTACACCTCAAGATATGCAATATCTACTTCAGCTTACTTTAAATTTTGTGGAAAGTTCTAGAATTTTTTATTTAAAAAGGCAAAGTAGTTAATATTTGCAAGGCATAGTACCAAATTTTAATATCCTTTATCTTGTACAATATAATAACTTCCATAATATTAAAGTAACTTACTGTATGAGGATTCAAATAAAGCTTAAGCTTCATTATATTCTCTAACTATAGCTATAGGTTTGTAACAGTTACAGAGCCCATGTGATGATAGGACTACTCCAAGTGCTTTATTTTTCTTTTAAAATAGACATTTACTATACTAATGAATTAGACACGATCAGATTTTAAATGCTGAAAATCAGGATTAATTATTTCCAACTTGATGGGAATCTGGGTAAATATTTTACTATGAAAAAATGGAAGCCTCACTAGGGGGCAGCAATTACTCAAAAAAGAAATACACACATTCTTAACAGTACAGGCTCTAAAACACTCCGGTGAAGTATCATTAATTTAAAGTATTTTGATCAGTGATTTGTTTACCCACCCATCAGATGCATGAAAAAATGTTTAGTTATGTTTCAACATCTTTGTTCTTTTACACTTTTGATTTAATCTTCACATCAAGTCTAGGTGATTTTCATCCAAGATTTCCATATTCAATCTCATTTCTCTGTATAACATAATGTATGCAATCTTATAGAACAGCTTTGAAAATGTCAACATTTTTCATTGCACCTATAAATCCACATTGCAAATCCAATTTTAACAAAATATTTATGTATATTCAAAACAATATCAAGTGCATAATTCTAATTCAATATTGTCTTTCACTGTGTCATGTGGATTAAAGAACGTGACAGAAAAATGGCCTTAAGCTCATCCATCATAAATTAGAAAAATTCAAGACATTAATTTTAAATGAAACTACACCAAATTGGGGCATGAGAAAAGGTAATATTTTTGAAATACAGTAAGTTCCTTATGTGTCTTTTTAAAAATCTGGATGAGCTAAAGTCATCTCAGCTTTCAGCTCTCTAGCAAAAACCAACAAACACAGTCTAATGATAAAGAGGAAATCATAGAATCTACTGGAGGTAGCATTAACATTAAAATTCTTTTCAATACAGTATGTTTCCAGAAAATATTTTTTGGGATCATAGAAGTAAAAAGTATGTGCATATAGACTTTTGAAACTGGAATTCAGACTCAGAGGTTGTTTTCAAATTAGAGCAGGGTAAGTTATCTTTTCAATCCTTTGTCTAGGTCTGGTCTGCTGTATTTCTATTTCTTTATTTTATACTGTAAGAGCACAAAGGACCTAGATGATAGCTTCTTTAGATAATTCATAATTTTAAGAAGTTTTATACATTCCAATTATTTGGTCAATTTATCACTGAACATCTAAAATATGATACTAAACTTATGAAAGTAATAATATAGAATAAGAAACTGATAATCTAGGTCTCTAGCATATTAAGATTAGTTCATAAGGATGGAAGTTAGAAATAAAAAGTTTGAATCCTTCCATTAAATACAGATCTTATTTTATTCTAAATGCAGTTACAGAAAGAGACCTTGTATGCATCAGTTCCTCAAATGCCTGCGATAGCAAGGGCTGGGCCAGAATAAAGCCAAGAGCCTAAACTCCACCTGAGTCTCCCGTACGGGTGCAGAGGCCCAAGTACTTGTGTCATCTACCACTGTTTTCCAGGCACATTAGTAGGGAGCTGGGTCAAAACTGGAGCAGCAGCCAGGGCTCAAACGGGCACCTATACAAGTTGCCAGCATTTCAGGTGGCAGCTTAACTCACAACACCATAATACTCACCCCAAAACTTAGAACCTTTAAAAAAAAATCTTTCACATAAACAATGCCTTTTCAGAAAATAATTTCACTCTTACTCTCTAGCTGCCCAAAATGTGGACACATGTTTAATCTCACCGTAACCTAAAAGTTAACAGCTCTGACCTTCCAGAACGGGGGTGGGCCTCATTCAATCAGTTGAAAGTCTTAATAGAAAAGACTAACTTACCCTGAGAAAAAAGAACTTGACCCTACAGTCTTCCTGTCTGTGGTGGGCCAGACTACACTGCTTATTTCAGACTCACCAACCCCCTTAATCACATCAGCCAATTCCTTAACTCTCTTCATGTAGAGAAATCTATGTTTACTTAGGTATCAATGTAGATATTCATCCTCCTGGTTCTGGTTTACTGGAGAGTTTAACCATTCCAACACACACATAGGGCACGACTCCTTCCTCTCTGTCTTTTATCTTGTATCACATATTCTTTAGCATGTCCTTTCATAGTGCTTACTTTTTTCTTCGGATTGGCAAATTGATCAGCCAAGTGAATCAAATAAACTGTCTCCCACTCTCTGCCCACATAAGTTGGTCAAGGCTGCTGTTGGGAAGGTCAGTTTGAATAAAGAAGAAACACTAATCTCTAAAGACATGGGGTTCTACCTCTGTTCAGAAGACATTACAATCATATGGCTAAATATTTGAGTTATTTCCCCCCTTTTATTTTACCTTTTCCTCACCACCCTGCCCAAACTCAAGCCTGTTCTGCATTCTTTCAGGAGCCACATATGTCAAGGTGTAGAACACAATAATCTACCATGCATTCTTGCTCCAGTTTTCTGCAGAGTTTAGGCTTAACAACAAGTCAGCAGAAAAATGGAGAACCATCTGGGGGTGTCCAGAAAATCTAGAAAAGGGACAAGTTTCCTCCACTTATGAATGGAAAGTGCTCATCAATAACTTTATACTGAAATTTTACAACATAGCCCCGGAGTGGGTGCTGAGTGGTACACAAGAATTCTAAGAACTAAGGTGGAAGTGACTCTCAGCTTTAGTGCTACCTGTATGGAAACTTTTGAGCCATGAGAGCCAAGCAGTGGAAGAAGCGAATGCTCAGGCTGAAGTGCAAAAGAACAACGATGAGACAAAAGTCCAAGTTAACTGCAGGCCTGGGAACCTGGTAACAGCCAAAGGAGCAGAAGTCACAGTGCCAGACCCTGGGATGCTGGAGCTAATTGTTAGAATGCCTGGAACTGTCTACAATTTGTCTCAAAAGATCTAAATGATCATGGCCACCTAGAGATCCACTTTGCTGATACAGATACAACCTCTGATGGCCCTTTGCCCTGGGACTCCTACATTCTGGACTATTTCTGATCTCAGCTGTGGCCAAGTATAAAAAATATACAATAAAGTATCTCTTCTGCTGTCTTAACCATAAAGAAAAAAAAAAAACAGTGGAATTAAAACTGTCTAATGGCCTAATGAAAGGCAGCTGTAAGAGCAACTAACATCAAAGTGCCTACTATATACCAGGCCCCATCCTACGAATGCCTGCATGTATTGATACTATTATTTTCTTCATTTACTTAGAAAATGAATGGTTTGCCTAAAGAGGTGGTTGGGAGATGCCAGAATCACTACAAAGGTCAGACTCCAAAGTATTTACTTAGACAACATGAAAAAAACAACTAAAAAAACAAAGATTATAACATGATAATAAATAATACAGTGAAAAACTCTAGATTATGAAGACTCTTTATATAATTAATTCTCTACATTGACTACAAACTGAAATAAATTATAATGAAGACCACTTCTTTAGAAGTTTAATGTCTCTTTAGGTACTGCAACACATATTTATATTAAGATAATAACTGAAAAATACATTTCAAGAATGTTTCATTACTTACATATTTACTTCATCTTCATTTAATAATTGCATCACTAACAGTGTAATATGAAGGGAACCATCACTGACCATAGCTTTGGCCAACCGCTCATCTTGTTGTATTATCTCATTCTGTAGAATCTTAATTCCTTTTGTAATCTAATCCCACACACACAAAAAGAAACAGAAATTAGGTAAGCAAATTTTCTGTATAATAAACTGTAAATCAAGAAGAAAAATGAGCAACAACCAAAACTGTAACAATATTGAGAGTCTTCAATGGATCAATCACTCAATTGTCTGCTTGTTTTCAACTATCCTAGATGATTGGCCAGGTTAACATAATGAAAAAGTTTAGGAAATTATACAATGTCTGTCTTAACAACCCAAAACTTTGCAGATCAGGTTATAGGCTGAGTGTGAAAAAAAAAAAAAAAAAAACCTCAATGGCATGCATCTTTTCAGAAAACTGCCTTTGGAAGATACAGCATGACTCAATAATTATGATCTTTCCTAAAGGGGTGGGAGGAGCTTTATTCTTGCCACAGAAAGGTCACGCCAGCAGACAACATTCCATTTCTGTGAGAAGTAATATTCATTTGTCCCAAAGTGAATGTGTCTGGATGCCATTCCTCATGGCCTTTGAGAATTTTTAGGCTAGCAATAATTACAGCAGCAGTGACCACTGACTTTTTCCTGACATGTGAGAAGAGGCATAACCATGGAGACAGTGTCGAAAGAAGTACAAATATGTATGTTAGAAAAACATGTCCCAGGCTGCATCTGGGAAAAATTCCCACAGACCAGGTCACTTATCTGCCTTCCCCCGCAGCCCCACCACCTACTCTGTTGAAACACAAAGAATAATGATGTGTCTCCTCCTCCTATTCCATTTAGATCCAGTTCGGTCAATGGCAAATTTTTCAACTGAAAATAGCAAGGCCGGCAAAGAGGGAACACATGGAAGGAAGCCCTAAGGAAACAGAAGCTCTGAGGCAGCAGAATATTACTGAGAAAAAAAGGAAAAGAGAGGGAGCTGGCCACAGAAGCAGAATCCACCAACAGAACACAGATAAGAAAGGAGTGAATCATGAGCACAGCAGACTGTTCTGATAGGAGAGTAACTGTTTTTATCCTGAACAATATTCCCATTATCTGTGGAATGTGATTGGGCAAATCATGAGATGCTGTTCTGGGATGTGACCTCCTGTTGACAAAGGCTCTCCTTTGACCAGAACTTTACTCAGGCTCCTCTGGACCTTCTGCTTGACAAGGGCTGACTTTTGCTTCTCTTGACCCTGCATTTTCTATTTTGAGCAGGAATTCTACTGAATCAGGTTAGAAAAAAATCCCCCTACACTCCAAACCTTGGATGCCTTATTGCTCAGCCTTGCCTCTAGCAATAATCCTATCAAATCAGTCCCACCAGAAACTATTTATCCTTGATATTTCTCTTACTAACTTAAAAAAAAAAACATTTCAGTTTTATTGTAAAGTCAGATATACAGAGAGAAGGAGCGACAGAGAGGAAGATCTTCCGTCCAATGATTCACTCCCCAAGTGGCCACAATGGCCAGAGCTGTACCAATCCAAAGCCAGGAGCTTCTTCCGTATCTCCCACACGGGTGCGTGGTCCCAAGGCTTTGGATGTTCTTGACTGCTTTCTCAGACCATAAGCAGGGAGCTGGATGGGAAGCAGGGTCGTTAGAATTAGATCCGGCATCCAAACGGAATCCCAATAAGTGCAAGACAAGGACTTTAGCCACTAGGCTACCACACTGGGCCACTTAGTAAGTTTCTATTCACTGATTCCCAGCCCTATTCCTCAGTCATAAATCCCTTGTTCTTGTAGGAGTTTTAAGTCCAACCTCTCTCCCACAAACATTTTGTTACAACATTCTCTAGTTCTGTTTTCACAGCCCCTTACATCAATTTGGCTGTACCATTAAGTGTCATGAGTAACTTCTCTTTAACATTACCTATCTTTACAGTTGATCTACAATATTCAAAATAACCTCAGGACTTTTCTATTTCCTATCATTTCAGAGGCTAACACAGGAAATTATGTTTTCCCAGTAGGAAGTATTATGGCAAAATTGAAACAGAGACCAAGCCTAAAAAAACTCCTAAAAGCAAAACCAATTAGGCCTTGAAAACATCCTTAATCTTGCTTAAACAGTAGGCCTAAGCAAAACTTGGGTCATTTCTAGTTATTTCTGCTTTTGTTACCACAGGCATAATTTAAACTTAAACAATCATAAGCAACCAACTAACATCCAACTATGGGACTGGGGATTTTCAAAAAGTTTTTTTAAAAGGCAATCTTATATCTGAAATGAATCAAGTAAGTTCTTTATTTTATGTGCGTATTTTCTTTATAAATACTTTCCTCTAACATTTGACATCACAACACTAAATGTCCTTCAGTCTAGTGTTCTCCAATTCATTAAGTGTTTCTAATTCATATAAACTCTTTAAAATGTTTCTGTGCTTCAGATCATTCTTTCATAATTTGATAGCAGTGGTGGGATTCAGAGGAGTCTGCCAGCAATCATAGGGACCTTCAAGGAACAGGTAAGAGGTACCCATTGAGAGGACCATACTCAGGGCGTTCTTGCTACTTCTGGTGGTCCTACTTTCAGTACCCAAGATCTCAAGTTCCAAATTTTGTGTCCCAAACTCTTTTACTTGAGTAATTTTACTTTTGATTGCAACCACAGGAAATTGAATAAATCCAGTTACTAGCTTTCAGATGAGGTAAGCAATTCAGATTGGGATCTAGAGGTTGAATGAGGTGTCTGACACAGTGAACCAAGTGCTGGACAGAAACTAGACTCCATTCAACATTTTGTTGATGAATCTTATGCCAAAAATAAAGACAGGGAATACTACAAGTTAATATCCTATAACTACTCAATATGAACTAACAGAAATGTATTCTACAGAACAATCTATAGAATTTGGTAAGTCATCAATAATGAAACTTTTTATGTGTTGAATTCTTTTTTGTTAACATAAAGAGAAAAGATTTTATGTATTCTATAAGCACAAATCATATATCTTGGTGACATACCATCAAATGATAATACATTATCTTGACTACTAGATTTTATTTAACTTGACTTTGAAATTATTTAAATAGCTACTCTTACATAATTATTTTCTATTTTCTTCAGTTCAAGCTTTGAACATGAAAAAGATTCAGTACATATTTGTGGCTGCTTGGGAACTTTCTATTCCTTTAGTTACTGATTAGGTTAAAAGTAAGAAAGATGGGATGAGATTAGAATTTGTTAAATTCTTTGGAATTTAAGTTGAGCTTTGCTGGTTCACTCCCCAAATGGCCCCCACAGCCAGAGCTGGGCCAATGTGAAGCCAGGATTTGAGCCATCCTCTTCTGCTTTCCTATGCCATAAACAGAAGAGGATGGCTCAAACCCTGTATGTACATGGGAGACAAGAAATAAGCCCTTGGCTCCTGGCTTCACATTGGGAAGTGAGGCAACCAGTTCATAACCCAATGCTCATATGGGATCTGGACACTTGCAAGGGGAGAATCAGTCAATTGAACCATCACACAGGAAGTAGAATTTTGCTGATTCAAGACATGATTAATATTTGAAAAGGCATAGACCAGTGACATAAATTCTATTGTGTTACCTGAAACACATTATAAAAATGTGTGCATTTATAGATGATTGAAAACAAGTGTAAGACCATAATGAAAAAAGTTAATAATTAGAAATAATTTCATCAAATAAATTTTGAAAATAAATGCCAGTGATTTAAAATGTTTAGTAAGCATACTAATTTTCACATTCCTAAAAAAATATATGTAAACTATTACACTTACAACTGTATTAGCTAAATAAAACTCAGCTAGATTAGCCTACCCATAAGTTTTATTACTAGTTCTTTAGTAATTAGATCAAGCACTAGCAGAAAATATACACTCTTTGTGAAAGAGTAACTAGAAGGCTATGACTTCAATAATGAACCCCATATATCCCCTGTACTTGGCTCTGACATGACCCAACACTGCAAGGCCTTGGTGTTTTGTGCAAAATATATTTTCAAAAGTTGAGCTTTCCATGAGACACCTACTGATGATAATAATCACTCCTTCCACAAACTAAATTCTGATGTAGACCTTTTAGAAATGTTGCCAAAGAAACTGCTCTCGAGTCTCATTGGATGGAACAGTATCAGATTCCTGGTTTCTTTCTTTTTTTTTTTTTTTTTTAACACAGCAATAGAGCTTGTATAGCCCAAGCTTTGACTCAAAGCTTTTCAACTTGTCAATCCACAGATGGCTTAAAATTAAGTATATTCAACATAAGACTTCCTTAAAAGCAGATGATATCCCCAAGATAACAGAACAAGACTCCATTTACTCCCTTGTATTGTTTTTACATCAACACAAAATGTTAAAACTTCTGTTTTTATTATTGCTGGAAGTGTTCACTATTTCACTGAACATTCTGTATAGTCTACTGTTCAAAGTATAGCCATTCTCAGTAACCAGAACACCTGCCAGCTAGACAGTTATCTAAAAGAGTGAGAAGAACCAAAATCAATCAAAGTTTCTCGCAAGCACATTTGGGTAAGCAATTCAGAAAGCGGATTTGATTGCAGGAGTAGGTTCTTTGTATGAGGAAAATTCAGCTCCTTCTTGTTCTCTCTCCACCCTCTCCTCTTCTGTCAAGGGGTGATGCAGCAGTAAGCCCCTTACCAGACACTTGCCCATCAGTTTTAGATTTCTGGCCTCTAGAACTATGAGAAATACATTTCTGTTCTTTTTACTGTTTATTTATTTGTTTTCATTATATTTGAAAAGCAAAGAGACAGAGAGATTACTCCATCTGCTAGTTCACACCCCAAACTCTCCCAAGATCCAGCTGGGCTGGGTGGAAGCCAGGAGCCCCGGACTCAGTCCAGCTTTCTCACATGGATGTCAAAAACTCAACAGAATTACCTGCCATCTCCCAAGGCCTGCATTAGCAGGAAGCTGAATCAGATTGAAATCTTGGCGAGGGAGAGTGGGGAGCTTGCTGCTAATGGCATACACATTCAAGATAATGTTCAAAATGCCACTTATTTATGTGTTCAACTTTGTATTGCAACATCCTACAGGGTAAAATACATTAACATCTTTGGATTTTTCCAGTAGTTTATAAGATTGCAAATTAAAAACTAAAATGCTTTGAAGAAGTTCATTTCTCTGAAGTCGAATACTATTCATATGTAGGATTAACTGTAATCAAGTAATATATTTCTCACTGTGCTCTGATGATTTAGATTAATTTGCATATTCTTTGATACCGTCTTAAGACTTGTTAAAAAGTAACTATTATCTCTAATTACATATTTTCAAATAAAAGAAAAACTCCATAGTGCTAACTGCATGATATTTTTACAAAGTACCCATATCATCAAAGACCAATGGAAACATTATTTATAAAGCTTATCTGTTACTCCAGTCCTCAGCCACTCACACAAGTGCACAGATCATACCGATTTCAACCTAATACTACAAAGTCAAATTTATATATGAAATTGAAAGAGTCTTATAAAAATGAAAACCTTATTGAAATCATAAACGTTTCTTTTGTGAAATAATTTCTTATACAGACAAAAAGACACCCATCTGTTAAACATCACATCACATACCTAAAATTAATGCAATTAGAAAATCCATTTTATATCTTTTAAACTTTTGAATTGATTGAAAGCATATATGAACCCCACAAAAAACGTCTTAAAGTTAACATGCTTCTACATTAAAAAAAGAGTTACATTCTAATACAAGGTAGGAGAATGCCTTTGACATTCCGCAAGTTTTCCAAGATGTCATATTGTTCCTAAATGTGTTGCCTCATTAAAATTTATCAGAATTCTCACATCAGTTTTCTGCTTAATTTTCCTTCAGAAACAAATAAGCTTTTTCTTGTCCACAACCATGAAAATAACTTTTAAAACTGTTGATACAACAATAGTTAGAGTAAAAGTAAAAATAAAAATAAAATACTTCAAATAGAAGAATGTGTCTTTATTTACCACAGGAAAACAAATATGATTATTACTATTTTCTAGCAAAGAACTGAATGCATTCTTATTTAGTTTCATATATTGGTGACAGTAGAAAATGTCACATTGCAAAAATGATACAACACAGAATTAAATGGAACAAATATTTTTTTGCTCCTGAGCAAAATCACCTATTTTCATTAGTATACTAAAATCAAACCTTTTTAAAAATTTATTTTATTCTATTTGAAAGGAAGAGTTAAAGAGAGAGAAGGAGAGAAAGATATTCCCATCGACTGGTTCACTCCCTAAATGGCCTCCAATAGCCATCAATGGCCAAGGCTGGGTCATCCCTAAGCTGAAGCCAGGGGCTTCCTCTGGGTCTCCCACATGAGTGCAGGGCCCACATACTTGCACTACCCTCCACTGCCTTCCCAGGAACATTAGCAGAGAGCTAAACAAGAAGTGGAGCAGCAAGGACTGGAACTAGCACCCAAATGAAAAAAAAAAAAAATCAGTACACTCCTTATTTCAAATAGCTTCTAACTTTTCCTTGTATTTTTTTCAAAGTTAACTTGAGTGCCTGTTCAAGTCCTGGCTCTTTTGCCTCAAATGTAACCTCCTACTAAGATATGCCGTCCATCAGCCAAGGATGGCCCAAGTGCTTGTGCCCATGCCACCCATGCGGGAGACTCAGATGAAATGTCAGACTCCTGGCATTGGCCTGATTCAGCCATTTGAGAAGCTTACAAGTGAGCAGAAGACACTATTTTTTTTTAAGATTTACTTATTATCATTGGATAGTTGGAAAGTCAGATATAGAGAGAGGAGGAGACACAGAGAGGAAGATCTTACATCTGATGATTTACTCCCCAAGTGGCCACAATGGCCAGAGCTGAGCCAATCCGAAGCCAGGAACCTCCTCCAGGTCTCTCACGTGGGTGCAGGATCCCAAAGCTTTGGGCCATCCTTGACTGCTTTCCCAGGACACAAGCAGGATGCTGGATGGGAAGTGTGGCTGCAAGGATTTGAACCAGTGCCCATATAGGATCCTTACATGTGCAAGGTGAGGACTTTAGCTGCTAGGGCCCAGAATACAACTTTTTATACCTCTCTGTCTCTCTGACAATCTGCCATTCAAGCAGATAAAAATAAATAACTGCACAAACATTTAAACTAAAACAAACAGAAAAATCCAATAGGTGGGTAAATATAGCTGGAAATAGTTAAGTAATTCTATTTAAAATCATTTTAAAACCAAGATGCCATCAGAAATTAATGGAGAATTACTTTCATATGCTTCCTATTAGAATTATTTTATACAGGCATTTTAATTATTTTCTGATTTTTATTTCCTAAAAATATGAATCAACATTTTGCATCAATACAGAATTTCAACCCTCTAAAAATGTGTTTCAAATCAAAGAACCGTGTGATTGTGGATACTTTTTTCTTTAAAACTGGATGTCAATAAGTAAAAAGGCAGAAGTAGAGCAACTCATTGTGCATGTCCCAGCTTCCAAAAGCCTGTTTGAGGTCACTTAATTGGAACTTGGAATACAGTCTTCCATTGAACCAACGTTACAAATGGTGCTGCTTTTCCCAGGACTTCCCACAAAAGCTCATAAGTAGTTTAAAAACAAAATTAACATCAGATACTTTAAAAGAAAAAAATAAAAAAGATGCTCACATAGAAGGTAAAAAACATACCTCCCAATCTCGCCCAATTTCTGCGTTCCCCACCCATGTCTGTATGTTACCTCTCCCAGCTGTTTACATGCACGTAAGTTATTTAAGAAGAAAGGAATAAATCGTTTTTGTTTCAAGATTACTTGAAACCTGTCACACAACCTCCTCTAAAACAAAACCTGCTGTCAAGCCTACAGGAGTACTTGCTTGACACAGTAGAAACACGGCACCAGGGACCCCACAGCACACATCGTGGCGCCTGGGTTCAAGTCCCCGTTCCTACTTTCAGCTTCTTATAGATGAGCGCCCACGGAGGTAGCACGTAATTGTTCCCTCCCAGTTACATGGGAAACCTGGAATGATCCCCCAGGCTTTTGAGCAGTAAACCAGTGCACTGCAGGTTGGTGTCTCCCCTTCTAATAAAATAAAATATTTTTAAAAGAGTTTAAAAATATATATACATATATAGTGAAACAAGCATTCATAACACTGTGCTTAATATATCAGCAGTCTGGATAAACTTGGAAAGGCAGAAACACATCTTTGGGTCCCGTGTGTTAGCCTAGTGGCTAAAGTCCTCTAAGTCCTCTCCATGCATGTGCTGGAATCCCATAGGCCACTAGTTCAGATCCCAGCTGCTCCACTTCCATTCCAATTCTCTGCCTGTGGTCTGGGAAAGCTGTTGAGGATGGTCCAAAGCCTTGGGACCCTGAACCCATGTGGGAGACCCAGATGACAGCTACTGGCTTCAGATCAGCTTAGCTCTGGCCATTGGAACCACTTGGGGAGTTAACCAACAGATGAAGTATCTTTCTCTCTGTATCTCCTCCCTGTAAATCTTGCATTCCATGAAAAACAAATAAACCTTCAAAACAAAAAGGAGCTCACGTTCGACTCTGCATTGTGTGTGCGTACATACCTATTACTGGACCAGACTGACTTCTGCCTGGCCCAACCTGGGCTGTCGCAGGCAGTTGGGACTGAAACAGACATGGACAATCCATCTGACTGTTTCTCTTGCCTTTCAGATAAAACCAAAGCAAGCAAATGAAAGCTCTTAGATCTTGTGAGGAAGACAATGGTTAAGTTGAAGCAATGACAAATGACAACCAGAGAGCTATAAAAGTCTCTCCAGGGAGTGGAGATTAGAAAAGAAACAAGGAAAATAGGAAGTAACTGGCCTAGCCCGGAGGGTCACCAATGAAGGCATCTGAGCTGAGACTCTGGATTAACAAAACGAAATGAAAAAAGAAAACTCCTGCTAAGCCCCCAAATAACCAAAGGATAGTTTAATTATATTTCTACTATTTAAACACCAACTTCTGTGTAACCTGGCCCTAAAATCTCTTAGAAGACAAAAGCAAGATTACTGACAAGCATTTAGTACAGTTTAAATATAACTTAGAATAAAACTTCATAGTAAAAAAGACTTAAAAAAAAATACCGCTTTGGGGCCCAGTGCAGTAGCCTAATGGCTAAAGTCCTCATCTTGCATGCACTGGGACTCCATGTAGGCACTGGTTCTAATTCTTTCGGCCCTTCTTCCCACCCAGCTCCCTGCTTGTGCCCTGGGAAAGCAGTGGAGGACAGCTGAAAGCCTTGGGGTCCTACACCCACATGGGAGACCCAGAAGAAGCTCCTGGCTCCTGGCTTCGGATTGGCTCAGCTCTGGCCATTGTGGCCACTTGGGGAGTGAATGAGCAGATGAAGGTCTTCCTCTCTGTCTCTCCCCCTCTGTATCTGACTTTCCAATAAAAAAATAAATAAGTCTAAAAAAAAAAAAAAGTATCTCTTTGGTCCTGGTGCAGTAGCCTACTGGCTAAAGTCCTCACCTTGCCATGAGCCGGGATCCCATGTCCCAACTATTCCACTTTTATTCCAGCTCACTGATTGTGGCCTAGGAAAGCAGTGGAAGATAGCCCAAAGCCTCCAGATCCTGAAACTGCATGCCAGAAGAAACTCCTGGCCCCTGGCTTCAGGATCAACTTAACTCTGTTGTGGCCACTTGGGGAGTTAACCAATGAGTGGAGGATCTTTGTCTCTCCTTCTCTCTGTAAATCTGACTTTCCAATAAAAATAAATAAATCTTAAAAAATATATTACCTCTTTGTTGGTAATCGGAATGGATAGGAAGTAGTTGGGTTGATAATCTTCCCCTTTTCTTTTCCTCTTCTTTATTTGATTACTCTTGATACACTCATTTTCTTTATTTATCTTTAATTTTAGTTTAGGTACATCAGTGACTAGAGGGAGAAAATCAAATAATATGTCTCATATATGTAAACATAAAATGTGTAAGAAAAAATCAGCAAAACATAAGAACACATGGCTGTCAGCTTCAAATCTAAAACAGGAATTGGTCGAACATAAATATTTTTTGCTTTGCTTACAATGTTAAGATTTCTGTCTTAATTGCTCAGCTGTTCTATTGAAAATAATAATAAAAAATAGATTTTCTAATAAAACTATCTTTACAAAGGTGCTAGCCAGATTTGACACCTGGACCACAGTATGCTAACCCCAACTTAAAGTATAACTAAGAAGCTTTATTTCCTCCTTGCTACAATTTTCAGAATTCTACAAAAACACATTTTTACACATAGTTGTTTATGGGCACATATATTCATGACTTTTAGAACTCTTGTAGCACTGCCAAAGTTCAGTACTGGCCAAAACCATACTATATACTACTTGTTGCAAAATTTAAGAGAATGTTTTAAAATTTTTAAATACATCGTATTTTCCTATCAAAATATCAAAATATTCTTTACAGAATTAGAAAAACTATGCTAAAAGTATTATAGAAGAACACATCACCCAGGTAGTCAAAGTAATCTTGAAAAAGAAAAACAAAACAAAAAGCTGCACATATCACAATGCCTGATTTCAAGATACATTATGAAGCTATCGTAACCAGAATATCATGATCTTGGCAAAAACACAGACATGTAAAACAACAGAATTCCCAGAAATGCATTCCATCTTCTACATCCAACTGTTGCTTGACAAGAGTGCCAAAACCATACATGAGAAAAAAGGCAGCCCCTTCAATAAACGGTGCTGGGGAGACTGGAAAGCTACAGGCAGAAGACTTGAAGTAGTTCTGTCAAGCCCTTACCCTATACAAAAATCCACTCAAAATGGATCAAAAACCTAACTTTAAGACCTAAAACTATGAAAATACTAGAAGAAAGCCTATGCGATACACATCATTCAGGACATCAGTACAGGAAACAATTTTTAAGATTACACATGCACAGCCAACTAAGGTAAAAATAGATAGCTTGGATTATATCAAAATGTGAAGCTTTGCACAACAAGGAAATAATCAACAGAATACACAGACAACTGTATCTAACCTTTACTCCTGACTTCATTCTGCTCACCTGTCTATAGGCAAAATAAAATTTTGATAGCACAGAAATTCAAATCATTATAAAAGGGACGCTAAAATTCATTCTACTTGTCTGAGTCTTTGGAGACTTAGCTACTAGGTAAAAGGTGTTAGTCATCATCTGAATTAGAATTCGATGATTTTGTTGTCATTGCCACATTTTGGGGTTTTGTTCCTTTTGTTTTCACTAAGGTTCTGAAAAGGGCATAGTTTTACATTCCCCTGAGTTGAAAATGCAGCAGATTATTAGTTGTAAAGAGTGTTAAAACCTCTTTTTGGTATGGAAGCACTTATAAGTGGATCCTCTCTCCAATACTTTCACAAGGAATTGTCTGGTAGAAGGGAAAAAAGACCTACCTTTTAGATAGCAAATGAATTCCTCCCTATTATTAAGAAATTGTTTTAGTTAGTTGAGCTTGCAGGAAAACACCTCTTGGGAACTCTTCTGTAACTCTTTGTAAAGTTTACTGCCATTTGCTTATATGCTAAGGAAAAAAAAAGTTAAAGATAATGGGAAGATCAAACCTATATTTCTGCCTAATTATGCCTGTGGGTTTTTTTTATTTTTTAAAGGAAAAGGAAATCTTCTGTAAAGCTGTTGTCTAAAAAGTTTTAGGTCCTGGGAGAAAAATTAAGAAATAGCAAAGAGGCTCGTGTGTGTGTGTGTGTGTGTGTGTGTGTGTGTGTGTTATGTGTTTAAAATAAGCATAAATCTTGTCATACTCAATCTTGTCATAAATACTTAAAAGTATCTTATCTCATCAAGTCAATTCAAATACTTAATTATTCCAAAGTTAACATTACTTGTTCACAAGACACTGATGATGTTCATAGTGATTTATGTATTTTATCATAAACCAGCCAGTTTCAATATAAATTCTTTGAGAAGAAAGAATGTATAAAATTCATAATGACTGGGCCCAGCAGCGTGGCCTAGTGGCTAAAGTCCTCGCTTTGAATGCACAAGGATCCCATATGGATGCCGGTTCTAATCCTGGCAGCTCCACTTCCCATCCAGCTCTCTGCCTGTGGCCTGGGAAAGCAGTCTAGGACAGCCCAAAGCTTTGGGACCCTGCATCTGTGTGGGATACCTGGAAGAAGTTCCTGGTTCCCGGCTTCAGATCGGTGTAGTACCGGCTGTTGCGCTCACTTGGGGAGTGAATCATCGGACGGAAGATCTTCCTCTCTGTCTCTCCTCCTCTCTGTATATCTAACTTTGTAATAAAAAAAAAATAAATCTTTTAAAAAATTGATAATGACTTAAAATTGGAAAATTTATATGAATATTCAAGTTCAACTGGCCTAGACAAAATACAACTAACACATTTTACTCCATACCTTTTTGTAAATTAAGAAACTGAGGGAGTTGGCTGACATCAGGATCAGTGAAATAAACTAGACACAGAAAGACAAACACTGTGTGTTCTCTCTCATATGTGAAAGCTAAACAAAAATTAATCAGAAGAAACAGTGATTAGCAAAGACCAAGAGTATGAGAGGGAGGATAAAGGCTGGTTGGAAAGCTAGTACCAAAACAGAATCAATAAGTGATACACTTCACAGTGCAGTGAAATGACTATCATTCATAATAAACTACTACATGTTTTATGACCAAACAGAAAGGAAGGCTTAAAGACTCTAAACATAAAGCAACAATAAGAGAAAAAACTGTATTACCCTGATTCATAAGTAATACACATTTATTAAAATATTTCACTTTATAGCGCTCCCAATTTTCTGAGAAGTTATGCTCTCAGAAGGAGGTGTCAAATCCCTGTGAAAAGCCATTCTCCCTGGGGCCAGCACCATGACATAGTGGGTTAACCTGTGGCACCAGAATCCCATACGGGTGCTGGTTGGAGACCAGGCTGCTGCACTTCGGATCCGCCTCCATGCTCATGACATGGAAAAGCAGCAGAGGACGGCTCAAGCGCCTCAGGCCCTGCACCCATTTGAGAGGCCTGGAAGATGTTTTTGGCTCCTGGCTTCAGTTTGGCCCAGCACAGGTCATTGTGACTATTTGGGGAGTGAGCTAGCAGATGGACGATCTCTTTCTGTTTCTCCTTCTCTCTCTGTAATTCTGCCTTTCAAATAAATAAACTAAATCTTTTGAAAACCTATTGTCTCTTTTTTTCACAGATTAAGGACTTTCGTTTGCATGCAAATCTACCATTAACAGTTTCTAGGCTGTGTTCCCCAACAGTTGTCTACTGATCAAAATACAGTGCCTCACAGATACTGTTAAGAATTCAAATGCAGTTCTTTTTCTTGGGAGGGAAAGGGATGGGCCATTTTGTCTTACATTCAACCCAGCAGGCATTGGTTTCGTCTTTGAGGAAAACTCCAGAAGACCATAATGACCACCTGCACACATCTTAAAACGGATTCCAAGAAAAGGCTGGGCTCAGCCTACAGCCCTAAACCTGAACACCTATGTACTCTGATGGGGCTACATAGCTTCTTTTATACCTGATAAAAGAATTGAAAGAAAAAAAACACCTTTGTGAAAACTGCTGTCAGTCATGTCTGGGGTCTTGGCTCTTTCACTGTCCTTCTAGTGGACATTCTCCCATATCACCTGCTGCTCCTCTGAGGACTTGTGTAACTGGTTAAAACTACACATAAAGCCACAGGGTAACGACAGATGTTCTCATTCTCTTTGCACTTTGACATAATAATAATAAATACTTTGAAATGTCTTAAGTAGTAATTTACTCCTTCTAACGCAGGAGCTGTTCCCAAAAACAGAGCATTTATCTTTGCAATCTAGAGAAGTAAAGTAAATGCAAGGGGTCCTGAGTAAAAATCAGACTATACCATGATTTAAGGCAAGATTACTTGGTGGCTTTGTACATTTGTCATCAGTGTGCCCAGTAACTAAGTGACCAATCTCTGTAAGATTATATATAATATATATACATATATATATATAAAATATAAGTTATTAGCTTCTTTTATACATCTGCACTTGGCAGAACTTCATAAATTCTATTGCTGACAGATCATAGCATTCTCATTCATGTTATGAGGTATCTAAATCACTTCATACACGAAGCCATTAGATTTCTCTTCTAATGCAGTTTTAATAAAGAAAATGAAATCAGTATGCTGCTGAACCACTTGTAATTTTAGATATCTAAGTAAAGATCCACATTGATTGCATTAAAATGAACTATACACCACTTTTCAACAGAAGCCAAAATATGTTAATGAAGCAACATATATATTTCACTATACTTTGGACACATTTTTAGCCCTAGTCCACCTCCACATGATGCTAATAATTGGTACCTGGAAATGAACTTAATTTTTTTTAAAGATTTATTTATTTATTGGAAAGTCAGATATATATACAGGAGGAGACAGAGAGGAAGATCTTCCGTCCGATGATTCACTCCCCAAGTGAGCGCAACAGCCGGTACTGCACCGATCTGAAGCCGGGAACCAGGAACTTCTTCCAGGTATCCCACACGGATGCAGGGTCCCAAAGCTTTGGGCCGTCCTAAACTGCTTTCCCAGGCCACAAGCAGGGAGCTGGATGGGAAGTGGAGCTGCCAGGATTAGAACCGGCATCCATATGGGATCCTTGTGCATTCAAGGCGAGGACTTTAGCCGCTAGGCCACGCCGCCGGGGCCTGAACTTTTAATACAACTAGCTAAGGTTTGGAATCTTGGCTCTCACACTCCTTGTGTGTTCTTCAATGAGTCACATAGGCCTTCCTTCCTTCAGCATCATCTCTCTGAATTTGAGAAGAGTAATAATACATGGTAAAGTTCTTTTTGAGAATAAAGTGAACTGATACACAAAATAATTTAGTTCTGTTTCAAAATAAGAGATATTATTAGCAG